GGGGGGGGGGGGGGGGGGGGGGGGGGGGGGGGGGGGGGGTTGATGGGCGTGCGTGGTGTTGTTGCAGGCCGGCTAGAGGCAGATGGGTCTAGGATCGGCGGCTGTACTACAAGATGTGAACGAGGAGTGGGCGGTTCGTACGCTGGCGCTACTTGCCGGGTTTGGGCCTTACCGAGGGGCTGGTGCGCGTGAGAAGTGATTGTGGATGGCATCGATGTCCGAGGCGGGGGTGCAAGCTTTCTGTCTGTCTGTCTGCCTGTCTGTCTTCTTCTCTGCTGGAGCATGGTGTTGTGTTTGGATGGTATTTTCAGAAGATGCGGAGGCGATTGCCGGCAGGGGGAGGGAATGGAGAGGTTAGGGCGTCGGAGGGGATCGTTTTATGTACTCGATGTGTTTGTTTCGTTTTGTGTGGTCAGCTTCTGTGCCGCGCGTAGTGTGTGTACTGTTGGTGGTGAAGGCCGCTTGTGGGCGTGCACGTTGTATTTTACCCTTGATTTTCTCCCGGGTCCATTCTTTACTTTTGTTTTTCTCTCGATCTGTTGCAAGCGAACGCGCGCACAGTCACCAACGTAGAAACGGGTGGAAATTGCTCCCCCCTAGTACACCGTTCGCTAAACTGTATTTTTGAAAACAGGGTTACAACGGGTTTTAGATTTGTTACCTAGTCGGGTTGCGCTTTGTGGTTCCTTGACCGTTGCCTTCCGCTGCCGCACCCTGCGTTTGGTAGCTGCCAGAGCTGTTCCTCGTAGTGGCAGAGGTGAAGAACTAGATACGATTGGGCGGTACAAAAAACCTCAAGTATGATGTTAGGGGCTTGGGGGGGGGGGGAAGGAGGGGGGTCTTCGGAGGCTGCGATATCGCAGCCCTTTTTGTCTGTCTGGGTGTTGTTCGCCTGCGGGTGCTCAATTGGTTTTGGGGTTCTGGCATATATCCCTTGTCGTGTGCGTGCAACCCCGTGAATCACGGTGGATTATTTGCTATGTCCCCTTGGCTCACCTTGAACAAGCATACGTTGCCAGCCTGCGCGCGCGGGGCACGTGTTCCAGTGTAGCGGTCTCGGGTGTATAGTGATGTATGTGCCGATCGGTGTGCTGCCGGCCGGAACCAGCGTAGCCGTCGCCCACGGCAGAGCCTTGTCCTACGTGTGGGTGTGTGTCGTCGAGGTGTTTGTAGGTGGGTTTGCTTCGGCCGCAAGCCCCAGCCAAGATAGTGCGCTATGGCGTTGGTGTCTCTTTTGTTGTGTCTAAGGTGCGTTATTTATTTCGGAGTACACCGCTGGGAGCGCTTTCGTTTCTGCGAAGGTGGGGGAGGCGCGTCGTGGCGACGCCTTCCTTCCCATGTTCCTGGCGATCTTGCCTCCGATGCGTGTATCAAAGAGTTGCGTCATTGCATTTTGCGCCTTCGTTCCATAGAAGCAGGAACAAGTATTGTGTGTGTGAACCATTGATTTTATGCAACCCTGTGTTGGGCAGAAGAAGAGGCAAGGGAGAGGCAAAAAACGGGGAGGGCAAGAGAGGTTCCATGCATGCATTTTAATTTTCCGTTTCGTGATTTTATATTCCTTTTCATGTTTCATGTTTTCATGTTGCTTTGTGGTTGGCTTGACAGAAGAGTAGACTACTGTGACGGTCTGGATGAGGTGGGTACACATGTACCTGGCATGTGAGAAAGTGAAGGACGAGAATGGGAAGGGCGGCTTGCGCGCGGGCGGGCGTCGGTGATGTCGACACCGAGTGGAAGAAGCCCGCATTTGACAAGAAAGCAAAATAGAGTGGCGTCTGTATAAGAACAGCAGCAGCAGCAGCATCTAGTAGGATTTCTCCCCGAACTAGACGATGATGCGCGGGTGCAGTTAGTCAAATGTGCTATGTTTCGTGGGTCGAGTTGAGATTCGACTTTGCCGGTTGAATGCTGTGTTCAATCTCGATCGGCGAGCTCCCTCTCGAGAATAAAAGGGGGCACAAGATGAAACCAGGAGCAGTAGGATCTCGTTATTGAAGAACCTTGGTGTAGTATGTAATATGGGTTGGCCGGAGACCTGGTAGTCGGACCAAAGTTTTTAAATTCTTGACAAAAGAGTGAAGAAGCAGTAGCTTGAGTGTGGGCCGTAACCCCAAGCCTCAATTTACCAACGATGCCGTTTTTTTCGCGTTTCCTTGCGGGGCATGTGGCAACGAGAGACCCCAGCTAGCAGGGTGTTTCGAGACGGCTGGAGGCCACAAGACAGAATTGCGCCACGAGAAACGGTTTTCATGTTTTTCAATTCATGGTAGGTGGGTACTGGACACCAGTACGCATACAACGATGTATCTGGTGTCGCCGCGAATTTCGACACGAGCGACAGGACCGTAGCCAATCGCGGACACGAAAAAGTTCCCACGCTCTTCAAAAATATGCTGAGGATGACTGCGATAACGAGTGCCCAGCTTAAACTTGTCTGAATGCACAGAGTAAACCTTGAGGCGTGTTACTTCAAGCGAGAAATGAGCTAGAAGGAACCTTGAACCTCAGCTTGCTTTCTTGCATTGATATGTTGCCATAGAGGCACGCAAGCATGGAACCTTTCTCTCATGACGCCGCCGAACAGACCGTGGACGCATTCGTTCGTTTCATTCCACCAAGCAATGCAAGCAAATGGCGCGCTCAAAACGTTCTGGTGCGCACAAGCTGCCTACCTTTGCGGCCGAAAATATCAAGCCACCCCTCACGGTTATACGCAGTCCGTGGGCCGAACGCAACCCAATCGCCCCCAACCTCGCTCGCGCGTTAATTGTGCGGTGCGCCCCCGCTTGTGGGAGCATGGTCGGTGTACCAGTCCGGGCAGTGATTGGTTTCCTCTTGCTTTGAAAACAGTTTTTTTTAGACGTGCCAATCAACACCCCGTCGCCCAGGCCCTCGTTCAGACCCTGGGCTTCGTTACCCAACGCACCCTCCTAGAAAAGACCTTAGTAAAAAGTACAACCAAAGCTTTGCATGAAAATACTCGTCATGCCATGCCACAGGCGAAAAGCCGCCGTCGGTATGCAGTTTCCCTCGAACCCCCGCCAACGACGAAAATAAATTTGACTTCCCCTGTTATCGTTTTTGCCTCCCTCTTGCGCGTAAGGAAAACGAATGTTGCCTTCCGCAGGCGGTCGATGATGCTCTCATGTGACGATTCCCACCATGCCAGTTGTGAACGGATACTAACGTAACATCTGCATGTTTGCTAAGGCTCCCAAGCACAAGGTCAAAACGAGGCTAGCCACAACTGCCCTAATCTGCCCCTTGATTATCTGGAGGCACTCCCTCCCTGCTGCGATTCGATTCAGAAAGATTGTCAAGTCGACCTTGTTGGCAGCTTGGCAAACCCATTTGCACCCTTACCTAAATCTTTAAAATACATCCTTCCGTGCCTCACTCCCCCCCTTTTCACCTAAGTACTGCAGCATACGAGGTCTTCGTACCACCGTAGTCCTACTCTACTCTCTAGCCTCGCACGCACAAAGACACCGCAAACCGAAAGCTCTGACTGCTGCTGTCCTCAACGAGTCCGACACGTTTTTTCATGCCGACAACGAAGCAGCAGCGAAAGGATTTGTCCAACCCAAATCACATCAAGAAAAACAAAAAAAAACGTCGTTCGCTGGTGTCGTTTCATGAACGACGCCGATCCTGCTGTCAGTCTGACACACCACACTTCGCCCGCTCATTCCTCACTCACTGATGACGCTGTCGCTGTCACTGCCCCCGGTCCCGCTACCACTTTTGTTGCTATGGCTACTCTGGCTCCGGCTCCGGCTCCGGCTCCCGCTCCTGCTACGGCTACGGCTGCTCCCGCTCTCGCTCCTGCTCGTCGCGCGTCTCTTCCTTGCTGGCGGGGAGCGCGAGTCGGACCGGCTGCTACGACCACTCGACCTAGAGCGCCTCTTCTTGCTGCGCGAGGACGACCGGGAGCGAGACCTCCGGGCGCGAGGGGCCGGGCTCCGGGAGCCCCGCCGGCCGCCGCCACGGCGGACGGGCGACCTCCTCCGAGCAGGCGGCGAGCGGGAGTCTCGCCCTCCTCGCCTGCCTCCTCTGTCCCCGCCACCCCTCCTCTTGCTCCTGCTCCTGCTCCTGCTCCTGCTCCTGCTGCTGCGGCGCCGCCCCGCCTGGGCGCCGTAGTTCAGCCCTGACTGTTGGTACCGCCTCTCGTACGGCTCACGCCTGCCCCCCCTGCCCACGTCGTACCGGCCGCGCGCCCCCCCTCCCCTGTTGTCGAGATCGCGGTCGCGCCGGTCGCGGTCCCACGCTCCACTTCGGTCCCCGTACCGCCCGCCGCCGTCCCGGCCACCACCATCGCGGGGCCGGTTGTTGTACCCGTCGTCCCTGTCCCTGTCCGCCTTGCCGCCGCGCACGGGGGAAGGAGTGCGGTACACGCGGCCACCGCGGCCCTTGTAGCGGGTGCGTCCGTCGTCCGGCGCATCCTGGGCGTTGCTGGTGCTCTTGTCCTGCCGCGCGGCGGGGCTCTTGCTGCCGCGGCTGCGGCTGCGGCTCCTCCCATGGCGCCCGGTTGCTGCTGCTCTCTTCGGCGGCGACGGGCTTGCGGCTCGCCTCCCCTCCGGAGCGGTGTGGCGGCTGCTGCTGCCGTTCGCCGGCTTGGAAGACCGAGAGCCGTTCTCCTTGCTCGCGGCCGACACCCCGTTCCCGACTGCGCGGTGGTGGTCACCCCCCTTCCCGTGACCGCCGCCGCCGCCGCCGCCGCCGCCGCCGCCGCCACCGCCGCGGGGGGCGTTATCGTCTTCGTCGCTGCTGCTACCGCTGCTGCTGCCGCTGCCGCTGCTCTGGACGGCTCGCTTCTCCTTCTTCTTGGCGTCCTTGCTGATCGACTTCTTGGCGGCGTGCTTGGCCTTCTTGCTCTCGCGCTTGCGGCGCCTGCGGTCCGCCCCCCCGCCGGACGCGTCCGACTCGTCGCCGCTGGAGTCGTCGGACGAGCTGCTGCCGCCGTCGGAGTCGTCGTGATGGCGGTGGTGACGGCGGTGCTTCTTCTGCTTCTTCTTGCCTTCTCCCTCCTCGCCCTTCCTCTTGCTCTTCTTGAGGCGCTTCTTCTCGGCCTTCTTTTCCTTCTTCCTCTCCTTCTTCAGCGCCTTCCGGTCCCTCTTCTCCTTCTTTTTGTCCGGAGTGCCTCTTGCGGCACCACCGCTTTGCCTCTTCTTCATCCCGCTCCCTACCCCGTTCGCCCTACCGTCGTCGCTGTCGCCCCCGCCAGCCTCCTCTTCCCTCCCGACGTCGCGGCTGCTGTGGCGACGGTGATGCTTGGAGGAGGAGCTGCGGCTGGGGAGGAGCTCCCCGCAGTCTTCGATGATAACCCTCTGGAGGGAGATCGGAGCGTCCTTCTTATCGGTCTCAACCTCGGACATCTTCACAAGCGTGTCCGCACCGGACTCGAGCTCTCCAAACACTACGTGGAGTCCATCCAGGTGGCTCGCCGGGTGGGTTGTGATGAAAAACTGGAGATTTGGGCACCAACAACACACATCGTTCGGGGTGGGAAGAAGGGAACACAGGACAATAGGTCATTCAGGGGAAGGAAGGGACTTCGAAACACCTCAAGCAGAGAGAAAGTGGCGTCGGAATGGGCAATCGTCTTGCGGATTACAACCCTCATTTCGGCAAACGGTGAAGTCCGTTCGCTTATTGCTCGTTGAACATTGTGAGTGAGAAGCGAGTCCCGATTTCGGCATGCCTTCTTTCTTAAAAAAGCCGGGATAGCCTATTCTGGAGAACGTATTTTCGAGTAGTCATCCATCACCTGGCTGCCGTAGCGTTGATCTCTGGTGCAAATTACTTCGGTTCTAGTCTTCCCTGTCTTCTAAGGTCTAAGCCTTGGAAAAAACAAAGGTACATAGAGCACTGCTGCGCCCTAAAAAAATCAGCGCACTCTCGCACGCCTCCTTGATTCCTACGGGTCTGGGACCCTGTTGCCACGCAAAGCCCTCTCGGGAAGGCCGCTTCGACCCCGGACCTCCCGACCCGCTGAATCGCAGCGTTTATATGCTTCAGCGCAGTCTCGAGTCAAAACAGGTGAAGTTCCCCGGTGGACAGCAACCGAAAAAGTAATGCATAAACTTGGCGATCGGCATGAAACGAGACAGCGCAAGGACGTTTGTACCTGAGAGCCGTTGCTGTTCTTGCCGGCGTTGGCCATCGACAGCAGGTGCTTCTTGTTGTGCTTGAGCTTCAGGCCAGCCGGCTCGTCCTTGAACTTCCCACCGTAGATACTCTCGCCGCCGGTGCCGTTGCGCCTCTCGAAGTCGCCTCCTTGACACATGAACCCTGGCGAAATCAGCAGACAAGAGTCGGGGGGAACGGTCGCGTAAAGCATCAAGAGAGCGTAGGAACAGAGCACGAGGGGAACTCATTCCTTTCGAGGGAGTGATATAGGTGCTGGGAGGCATTACCGACACACCTCGGACGGAAAAACGAGACCGCCTTCTTTGCAAAATTTACAATCAGGGGGCGGAGCTTCCGAAGACCGGACTAATAAGCATTGCAGCGGTAAACACTCCAAACGGCCTTCGCATCAGTCGTGAGTTGATACAGATGAGACTCGGTGCTGTAGTTCACACCCAGGCAAGGCTTTTCAAGAGGGCCCACAAACGTACAGAGCAGGACTTGCACCCCGTCTTCCTATCTCGTACCGCTCGTCAACACGTATCAAGCAAGACTTGCCCGTGTTGTACCAAACAGGTGGAATACGAAGCGAAAGGCCGCACCAAGACCCTATGTCTGCACGCTCCCACGGCGGTGCCATCTGTGTTATTTTGACCACACCACGATGATAACATTCGAGCATTTGAAAGTATCATCGCCCGTGAGGTTTGCTGGACCAGGGTATTGAATATCATATACTTTCTAAGATCATCGCCCGTGAGGTTTTCTGGACCAGGGTATTCAATATCATATACTTTCTAAGATTGACTCATGTCTCAAACCTGCCTACGCATTTCCTGTCGCGACACACGAACCAACACGTGCTCGCCAAAAAAACAGCGTTTTGCCTCCATACATGGCATCAACCGGGTGTAGACTCCGAGACTCACCTGGAATCACGCGGTGGAAGGGGACACCTGTCGAACGAAAAATCACATGGCACCCGGCGGAGGAATGGACCAAAACAGGATAAAGCAGACACAGCGGAGGTGGACGTAAAAACGAGAAGGTGAGAAAGGGAAACGGCACCAGGAAGAGACGGACAGAACAAAGAGGAGATGTGAGACACACAGCATGGAGGCAAACGGGTATGTGTGCATGAGGGTGACCGAGAGGATAATGCCCGCCGCGGGGGATAGTGTCCAAACCGCTGGATAGAGAGCGTACAATAGAAAGCAGCAGTCGTGCGTGCTGTGTTAAGTGGCCAAGGTGCCTACTGCGCTACTGACAAGTTTCACACGGCGCGCCTGCCTTGCGGTGTAATCGAAACTGAGACAGATGCCTTGCCGGCGAAGACATCGTTCCAAGAAAGCGTAGTTTCCCGCGTGGTGGAGACCGAGTGGGATCTGATGGAACACACAACAAGGTGCTGCGTGTTTATCTGACAACTTGAACGCCACAGCGCAAAATACGCCGGGGGATCTCAAAAGACATGCCGTAGTTGCGGGAACCAGAGCACGAGAATGGCGGACCTTGTATTCTATGTAGGCTACCGCTGTAGGACACACATTATAAACAGGACGTGAGTCTTCAACAAAAAAGCAAAAAAGGTCAACTCCCTCCCACGGGACACACGCGTGCCGCCTCCTAGATTTTCCCGCCGCCTCACCACCAATACGCACCTTTGTAGTGCAGCATCCTACCCGTGGTTCTGCCCTCTCCCTTCTCGCCGGTGCACAGGCATCGGAAGTTCTCGGCGGTCAAGGGCACCGTCTCGGTGTAGAGCTTGAACACCATCCTCCCGGCTGGATTTCGAACGTGAGCAGGAACACCAGCAGCAGCATCGCAACAACGTTGACCAAGATGAGAAATCCAAAACAGGGATGGTAAGGCCGACAACGACGTCGAGGGTGGGGCGAGAGTACAGGAGAATACTGCAGGCCAGCCATGTCAGACGGGCCGAGAAAGAATACATATGAATATATGGTAGCCAAGGTGCTTGCCTGCCTGCAGCAGTTCGGCCAACCATATGGGGGCGCACGCGATCACGCATGGCAATGCCAGAGGGACGCAAGTGCGCAGCAATCCATCTAAACCAATATCCGCATGGGCAGCATACGCACCAGGCCTTCTCACCATCTAACACACGCCATCTTGCGTGTTTGCATGGTGGGTGGAACTTCCAGCTGGGTTGGCAAACGAATCGAGGCCGCAATCCGCGAGGTTCGGGTGGATACTTCCTACCAGAACGAGCTTCGCAACCCACCTGGTTCGCCACCGATCGATATGTCGAAGAAGCATCGTGTAGGCGCCGCGGGAGCCATGTCCAACAAAGTGCTATCTGTTCTCCCTCTCGCCTCTCGCACCCTGCACTCCACCGCCATGCACCATTTCATTTTCTCTCCGGGGGCTCCGACGAATACATTTGGGTGTAATGTTTCCATTCATTCTGCGTGGACCCGCTTGGAGGGTGTGTGGGGAGGGCTGCTGCAGTGCTGTGATTACACACAATTATAACAGGGTGATACGGGAGCAGAGCATGGCTGACAACGCGAACAACACAGCATTAGGGCGGGGTGAGAAGTGGTGGAGCCTTGTCAAGGCCATAGCTTTCGAGCTGAAGCCGTTCAGCCTTCCCGGCGTCGAGGATGTGAAGGCCGCCGCGGTAGCAGTCAGAACGAATGTCCGTCAACTCACCGACGAACTCGTTAGAGTCACGCCGGAGGCTCTTGGTGCCGTGAAGGCCGTAAACCCGTCCAGAGCGTTGGGTCTGATGGCTTGGCTCTGCGGGTGGGCGCTGTTCATCTGGCTCGAGTTCGGTAAGAGTGCGTGTGTGTGTTACTATAAATATATCGTGCGAGCAGCTCTCGTTCGGCATTGAAGAACGAATTTCGTACACCTCCCCTGGCCCGACTCTCGCTCGATTGATTCATCTATCGCCGTGGTATTTTTGAACTTTTGAACCTGGTGACATACTTGATGGGTAGAACGTGTGCGTTTCCCCGTCATCCCCCACAAGTTCCCCCAACCCAAGTTGACATCATTACCGTATTTCTTGGTGGCGTGACGACCCTCGGCCCTCCCTGGGGCGTCCCTGTTGTCCTTCCGAAACAAGACGTCTTGGTTCATGTGTCATTCATAGCTTTACAACTATTATATCACACACCGTTTGTTAAGTAAACCATAATCGACTTCGTAAGTCGCGAGGGAAGGGATTGCTGTACCCTTCTCGCGATAAAAATACCTCAGGCATGAACCGCAGGAGGGGGTCCAACCCCGCCCTCCTATGTGACCCCGGTTGGGTCGTCTAGCTAGTAGAAGTGGAGGATAGGGGCCAGAGGGGCAGACGACAGAGTCCAATGATGGGAGAAAAACAACAACAAACAACACCTCGTGGTGTGTAGCCGACAGATTCCTTGACTCTCTTCTTGTTAAAAAGAAAAATGAAAATGAACGCACCACCACTTTACGACTTAGATATATGCGACTCGCTGTTTCTTTCCCACCATTTGTGCCGTCCCTTCCTTGCGGTTTGCCCTGTCGAGTCGCTGTCCTTGCACACACACACAAGGACGCACAAAATCTCCAAGGCACGGCATGACCACGGCATGACATCTCATTCATGACGAAGGCAGAATGTTCAACAATCCTCAATACCTTCCTCACACACACGTTCATTCAATAATACAAACACACACGTTCCGCGTATGTTTGCACACACACACATATGCTTTTGCTGCCCCAACCTTGGTCACTGGGAAAGAGAGAGAGAGAGAGAGAGAGAGAAAGAGAGAGAGAGAGAGAGAGAGAGAGAGAGAGAGAGAGAGATAACATAGACATTGAGAGATATCAATAGATATGGAGAGGGACACGGTGAGAGATGCCAGGGAGGTGGTCTCTCTCTCGATCTGTATTATCGCTCTCCTACTAGTATATCTCTCTCGGTCCCTTTTGTCTCTCTCTCTCTCTCTCTCCCTCCCTCTCCGGTGACCACGGGTGGGGTAATAAGAATAATGTTTGTAGGGGAGGAGGCCTCCAAGTGTTGTTGAACATCGAGACGACTCGTTGCATACAACCAAGGCACGGAAGGAGACAGGATTGATCGCGTATTCTCGTGCGTGCATTTAGCGGAGACTCACGAAACACCACGGCCCCTGGCGTTTACCCGCAACGCCGACGCTCCGCCGCCGCCTCCGTGGCCCCCACCCCCCCCCCCCCCCCCCCCCCCCCCCCCCCCCCCCCCCCCCCCNNNNCCCCCATCCGTTACGCCGGGTACCCCTTTTTCGGTGATTGCAGGTGCGGTTTATTTCATCATTTCGTCCATGGCCATGATTTTCATGAACCTCGGCGAGCGTGGGGAGAGCGAGTGGTCCGCGTACAGGTGCGAACAAAGGAAAGAAAATTGTTTGGGGTGCTCGGCAGATTATAATGTCTACGGGTCCTCCGGGGGATACACGGATGATATATGTTGATGGACATTCTACATAGCGATGGTGTTGCCTACCGCATGTCTGTCACTCTCTAAGCAACCAAGGTCTTGAGTCAACCTTCTTTCTCTTTCGGCCTCTGACGAGCTACCGCACCCAAACAAAAACTTCAACGAAGGGAAAGGGAATAAAGAAGAAAGGAAGGGGGACGAAAGGGTGTCAAGGGTACTGGGACCTATGGCGTCGCCGTCAGGTTGTTAGGATAGAGTATAGGCTGGTGGTCGAGGTTGCCAACCCCTAAAAATATTCCGCAAAGATCATGCCACGTTTCTGTGAGCGCTTGGGGAGCCTGGCGAAGATGTGGCTGAACAAGTCACTGTTCGGAAATACCGATGGTCGCATAAGAATTGCTCATTGAGATGGAGTGTGTTGTGCTGAGCGTTATTTTTTTTTCGGACTACACATGTGCTTGCATTCGTGCCGAAGGTTCCCAAACATTAGTCGAGAGAGGGTGGTCAAATGGGTGGTTTTGCTACCTCACGCTCTGTTTCATGTACGCGTATTACAACAAGATTATGATGTGCTCGGGGGACGGGAGCCAGTGCAGAGCAAGACCGGTGTTTGGTGCCAAACAGCTTTTTAGATTGAGCCCAAAGCTCGCACATCCTCCAGCACCAATGGTAGCACATCGACCACATCGAGGAGGGTACTGCACGCAGGAAGCCCGTTCACCAACTTACCCAACCACCCATTCACCCACCCACCGGGGCCCTGTCGTCAACCTACCGCAGCGTTTTCAACGCAGGCTGCCGCGCGCTGTTGGGCACCATCAACGCCGAGCAGTTCGAGCGCGAGATCATGCGCCAAAACGTGGCTGCCCCGGCCCACCAACACGGCGACGGCAACGAGGACGACAACCACCGAGGAGCCAACAACGACCAGGACGAAGATTTCGTGTGGGTGGAGCCAGAACCGGTAGTGCGCGACGTCGCTGCCGGTGACGCTGATGAGCCCGAGGATGGCAACGGAAGCGAGTATGACGACGATGACGGTGGCAGCGGCGGCGGAGGCGGCGGGGGTGGAGGCGAAGGAGGTGCTGCTGCCAGAGGGGCGGGGGGCGGGCGGAAGGTGAGCGGCAAGCGCGCGCGCCGGGGCTTCGAGGAGAGGAAGGAGAGGCAGGAGGAGAGGAGGCTTGCGCTGCAGGCGGTGGAGCAGGACGAATGGAACTGAGAGCGGAAGCCAAGGGGTGGTGTTTGCTCCGCGGGACATACGTACTCCCTGTGTGTGTGTGAGAGAGAGAGAGCGGGCGGAATCTGTTTGGGCAGGGTGCGAATGAACGATGGGTAGACGGGATGAAATTGTTGCTTCGTGGCAAGGTTTCAGCGGCTATACCGGGGAGAGAACGGGAGAGACGAAGTTTTTATTTTGTACAGAATTTCGGCGGTTTAATGGTAAGTTTTGGGTTCTTACCAAGGGGCGGTGATCGGTTTTAGACGGACGGCGGTGCAGCCGGTCGTGTGTGGTTTTGTCACGCGGTGGGCCGCCGCAATGAACACGCGACACATTCTGGAGGCGTTGTCGGCCCAAGCTCTTGGGGGTCGTGCTGCTGCTTGCTGCACGTGTCCAACCACACCAAGATAACTTGGTTACCGGGCTGCCGTACTTCGCAGGTACATTTCCGCAGCTTTGGTTTGCCCCTCTCCTCCCCCGGTCGATCCGCGGCTTTCCAGCAAACGATGAGAGGGGCGGATGTGCTCCCGGCCTTCCGCGCCCGGCAGGAATTACCCGCTCGTGGTCGCTCGTGGTCGCTCCCCCGCTGCTGGTTGATCCCTCCATGGGTCGCAATGACCTACTTTGGTCCCGGCTGCGTGCGGTTCTGTTGTAGGTGTCTTGTTTCTCTTTCGGAGGGGGGTGGGTGGGAGAGTATTTCCCAGCTGCCAGCGGCTGCCAGCTTCGAGGCAGGCGTCTATCCTGGGCAGTGTTCCCCTAAAGCGCGTGTCGCACGGCCCACTGGCGATAGCAATCAGCTTTGGTGTATATTGCAGGTACGGACAGAGGGGTTTTGCGTCGGCGGGACGTCAGCTGTTGCACTCTTTTTATCTTTCCCCATGGAAACAAATTGTCCCGAGTATTTGTGTGTTTTTTTGCGTTGGTTTTGGTTCAACCGGGCCCATGTTTTGAAGTAGTCGACTGCGGTTTTTGAGGGCTCTCTTGTCTGGGTGGAGAGCCAAGGGGCGGAGTGAGTGGGTACGTGCTGCAGTAGTAGGAGAGGCAATTCGTGTACTAGGGTGGATTGACCTGCCGTGTTGGTTCCAGTCACCGTTGTCCGTTTGCTTGTTGACCGGTCAATTCACACATTAATTAAATTTTGCGTCTCTTCCTCTCTCTCTGACTCTTGTTCTCACGTAGCACGAAGTGGCATTGGGTAGATCACGAATGTGTTGTGTTTTTATTTGGGTGTGGCAAGTGCTCACCTACTTGCTGTATCTTTTTGCAATGGAGCTTGTTTTAGTACTACCATAAATGGCACCGGCGAGCTGTTGCGATTGGCGTCACGCTACGTCTGTGCGAGAAGGGTGTGTTTTGTGGCAGGAGGTAGTGACATAGATTGCGGTTCATGCTCTTTACTACATACGGCTTCCGCTCAGCGAAGCCTCGTTTAACAACTGCCGTGGTGCGGTACGGTTCTACTGTCGACGAGCGTTCACCTTCCCCCGTCCACCTCCACATATTCGATTGATATGTGGACACCAGTCGATGTGCCCTTGGTGTTAGGGTATATACATGAACCGGGCTTGTCTTCTCTACAGGTCACTAGACCCATGAACGGTTTGCCGTAGCCCGGTATATGCAAAAACGAACCCAGCTTGCTTATTGTTGGACTTGGATGTTTGTGTCTCTAGCTGTAGGAGTTATTTCTGTCAAGGGCAAGGGAGATCCATGTGTCCCACAATACAAGCGTGCCTATGTGACGGCCCAAACAGAAAATGCCAGCGAAGCAAAGCTAGCTGTGGTCCCGGCGTCACAACCCACTACGCACTCGGGGCGCGGGGTTTGTACACTTTTGCTTGTTTTGAATCCTGATTCCGCAATAAATACACGACAGCTCGTACCAATTCCCAACGAAGTGCTGGCCATCTTACGTAAATAATTTGGTCTTTTTGCACTACTCCTTTGCCTGATCTACTATATAAATACGTGACGCACTCGATCAACTCTACAAAGGTCTTGCTTAGAACAGTTTACCAAACCTTGTCGTCTGCCGTTCTCCTGGCCCGGGTCGTGTGCAGGCAGAGCATGAGACACGATCGACTCTCTTGTGCGCCACGACTAGGAACTACATGCACACATAGCCCGGTCGCCCCGGTGGTCTAGTGGGTAGCCTCGCAGCCTGCTAAGGGTCAGGTCGTGGGTTCGAGTCCCGGCAGAGTGAGTTTTTTTCTCACTATATAAATCGTGGTCTAGGATGAAAGCGACGCGCTGCAAAGCTCGTTGTTAGTAAACCATAATCGATTTCGTAAGTCGCGAGGGAAGGGATTGCTGTACCCTTCTCGCGATAAAAATACCTCAGGCAGGAACCGCAGGAGGGGGTCCAGCCCCCTCCTCCCATGTGACCCCGGTTGGGTCGTCTAGCTAGTAGAAGGGGAGGATAGGGGCCAGAGGGGCAGACGACAGAGTCCAATGACAGGAGAAAAAA